CATAGTGCAGTTTTTGAGATATAGTGTACTGGTTATTCTTAACCATTGGCATGAGTTAAAAATATTTATATAGGGTTCAGTCAACAAAAACATGATTTATGGCTTTTTTTGTAAAATTGAGTTGATAATACTATAGTATAAAGCAGCTATTCTTCTATATAATTTAATATTTAAAGCATTGATTTATATAATAAAATTTTTGCTGAGAAAACTTAGTAAAGATATCAAAAATTATTATCGTAGAATTAATGATTTAAAAGGCAGTAAATTAGATCAAATAAGTGCTTGGATTGATAGCAAACCAGTTAATAGTGAGTAGCGGAAAAGGAACTGCCATTATATGGGTTAGAGCTCGGAAGGCTTAAACAAGCAGGCATGTTCTTTTATGCCTTTCCTCCCTTGAAACATCCTACTACTCTATTATTTATTACTTCCATTTTAGACGGCCAGACGAAAAATATAAATATCTGAAAAATAAATAAAATTTTGCCGTTGGTTTTGTATACAAATTTTCTTATATCAAATGATTGTCATCAATCAGTAAGTCAGTCATAGACCTGAATGGATAACAATATTCCCAGGGATATCCAAAAGTAAGTTTGAAAACTAGCGCTAGTACTACAGTTCACCACTTAACAGTTTCTATTTCTAGTTTATACGCTTATTCCTGGCTAGACAACTTAAACCAAGAAGAATGGATGAGAAAGCTGATAAGAGAGTTCATAGAACCTTTCAGGTATTTTAATCTTGCACTATTTCGAAATGGTAGGTATAACTATCGAAACGTTTTTATGTAGGAATCCAAGACAGAGGGTGAGAGCTATACCAATATTACAATGGTGCCATTCGAATGTTGCTCAAACCAGGAAAAAATTCGATCGTTGCAACTATCCTTGGGGCAACTGCGCCAAATCGGTGTCTTGGCGGGCAATGCATGGACAAAAGAAGAACCGAAGACACTGTGTTGTGTTGTAGTTCCGAATGTTCAATATACTGAGGCAAGAATTCTGGAAACCATGTCCCATGTGCCGAAAGGTGAAGAGTAGGATGAACTTCGAGAAGGTCACAATAGTGAGAAATTTCCACTCATGATCGTTGAAATGATCGCATATAAATCAGATCATAAACGCGTTGCAAATTCTCTTAACTGTAAACTCCAAGGTGGAGATCTTCCTAGTTGTATTTGTTATATGGAACATGTTAAAGAGTATTATGGTTTTGATCATATCATTATCATCGGAGAACTTCATACTGGAATTCTTTTCTTGGACTGCTATGGTCATGTGTTCATATGAAAATCAATGTGTTATGTTTTATGGATGCTTGGGGATTATTGGAATGAGGCAACTAAGACTGGTGGCTAAAAGAAATGGGGTTTAGAGACCGATTGGACTGTTGTTAAATTTGAAGAATTTATGAATTGTATGTGGAGATTTTGTTTATTTTTTTTTTTATCTTAATTCTTACAATTAGTTCTTTCTTCTAGATTCATCAAATGAATTAACCTTTAATGATCCCACCACAAAAATGATTGGTATTCACCCTGGTGCAAAGAAGAAAAAGAATTTGAAAAAAAAGAACTCGAAAAAGAAACAATATTGATCTGGTTTCTATATTGTATTATTCTTAATTTTGATTTATGTTTGCTATTAATATTACTTCACAGTTTAAAGGCTGAGGATCCTCTACTCAATCTTAAATAGTATGAGTCTTATATCAATTTTTCTTTAGTTTTACTAAAGGTTTTGCTAATATAAATATATCACTAGAGGTGTAGTAATTTAGTGAAGTTGGTAAGTTGTTACACCTTCAAGCAGCAGAACAAGAATTTGAATCTCACTGATGATGAAATTTGAATTTTATAGAATGTGTTAT